TGTTGGTTGTTCCTCTCTCTTTTTGTGAGACGCAAAGCACTGGATCATCTCACCGCGAATCCATGCACCTGTGCTACACCTTATCAATCTCTCTTTGATCAAGCCACATTAATGGCTCTAATCCGTGGTACACCGAATTCCCATGTATCCACACTACACCAAATCAATCTACTTAACATTGAAAGTAATCTAATGGACTATATCAGTTTATGTACCATCTTCATATACACCTGCCCACACCGGATCATCTATTAATCATCAGGACCATCCTGTGGTCCTGATTTGAGGCGCACCTAAATGCTATGTGCCGCGACGCATTGTAGCGCACCCCTTATTGGAGGTGTCGATTCCTTCCCCAGCGTGTATATATGCCGTATATATATATATATATATATATATATCCAAACAAATAATAGAAAAATTAATCTAATTAATTCCAAAAAATATATAAAAATACCAAAAAAATTTAGAAAATTACCAAAAATTCCATAAACCCTAATTAATCATCTTAGGTCACAGATAAAGCATAACAATTATTTTAAATATATACAACCTATGTATATAATTAAAATCCAACCATTCCAAATAATAATAATAATAATAATAAAACACGCTTTTCATACTTCAATGTAATCCTAATTTAATCAAATACAATTAACTTAATATTTTCCTATTAATCCGTCCTAACTTTGATTAATCCGTTCTAATAAAGATTTAAATTAATAATTTAATTAAAGTATTGATACTCAAGGTAAAATATTTATGAGTTCCAAGAGGAAAGATAGAGAAAACTTGCCTGTGGGTTTCGAAACGAAACCGACGCTTCAAGCTTGACTGTTTCCTCCAATCCCAACGTCCTCCTTTTTAGATCTGGCCTCCTCCTTGTCAGCTCTTCTTCTTCCTCTCTCTTTGTCTCTCTTATTTTCCTAACGTATAAAACTTTTAACCCTAAAACCTTATGTGTATATTTATAAACATTAGAATCCAAATCATATTTCTACTACGACTATGAAATAGAATAATAATCTCTAAATAATATAATATATATATAAACATATATTATGTTACATATATATATATATATATATATATATATATATATATATTTATGGATATATATAGGATATATAATTTAATTAACCAATGGTTAATTATGGAAGTATGGATATATATAGGATATATAATTTAATTAACCAATGGTTAATTATGGAAGATATATATATATATATATATATATATATATATATATATATATATATATATATATATATTCTTCCATAACACATATTAATTAATTATATTTATATATAATTAAATATATACATTTATAATTAATACAAAAATGATCATTTAAATAATTAAATAACCAAAGACCTTTATTAATTAACCCAATAAGGCTTCATACAAGTCCAAGACCACATCTTTTGGTCCAACTTCCCTTAAGCCCACATCCAATTAATTTAAATAAAATAAATAATTAAACAAATACTTAAATTAAAATAACTAATTACACGAAGCACCTTAACAAACATGAATTTACAACTAAGTCACACAATACCAAGAAAAACAACACCCAATAATTTAATCAATAATCAAGCACAAACACAACAATCATCATATACAAACACGAAATATAATTTAATTAAAAATAATAATAATTAATCTAAGCACTCAATTAAAACAAATCAATTAAAAATTAAAATAAACGCAATTAATTCAAATTAAATCAAATAAATCATTAAAAATAAAATAAAAATAATTAATCATAACTTAATAAATCATTTAAATTATCGGGGTATTACACAAAGCGATCTGACCAAGCTCGAGGAGGCTGCTTGAGGCCATATAGAGAACGACGAAGACGACATACCATACCAGAATGAGTAGGAGAACGAAAGCCCAGAGAAGGAACCATGTACACCTCCTCTTGCAAATCACCATTAAGAAAGGCATTCTTGACATCTAATTGAAATAGAGGGCAAGATCGAATTGCAGCAATGGGAAAAAATACACGGATGGTATTTATCTTGGCAACAGGGGCAAAAGTCTCCTGATAATCTATGCCATAAGTCTGATCATAACCCTTGGCAACCAATCGGGCCTTGTAACGAGTAACTGACCCATCTGGATTATGCTTAACTGTAAACACCCAACGACAACTCACAGCCTTTCATCCAATAGGAAGCGGAACCATGTCCCAAGTCTGATTTTTCTCAAGTTCTTATAGTTCTTCTATTATAGCATCACGCCATTGAGGTTGTGCTAGTGCATCTATAACACTAAAAAGACCAGGAACCGAGGCAACAGAAACAAGAAAACTTCGATAGGAGGGTGAGAGAGCATAATCAGAAACAAAATTAGAAATAGGGTAAGTACAAGAACGTTTACCCTTTCAAAGAGCAATGGGGCAATCATCAAGCGAAACAATAACTTGAGAAGGCGGAGCTGGTGCCGAAGGAAAAAGGGCAGTCAATCGTGGGAGTAGAAGCTTGTACCTGTTGTCTCCGACTATAAACCTGTGAAAAAGGAACAATTCCCCCTGCTGGAGGGGTATCACGAGGAGGAATCATAGAAGGAGAAACAAGTAATGGTAGAGGAGTTGAAGATGGAAGAAGGTGATCATCCATTATATTCAATAGGAACCATTCACTTTGAGAACCAACTGAACCACTATAGTATGGTGTACGCTCAAAGAAAGAAACATCCATGGATATAAACCGCCGCCGACTGGGAGTATGGTAACACCTATAACCTTTTTGAGAGTGAGAATAGCCCAAAAACACACACTTCAAAGCCTTGGGGTCAAGCTTTATACGAGTTTGCCCGAACTGCTGAACAAATCACACACACCCGAAGACTCGCAGAGGAATCAAAAAAAGAAATGAATTGGGATGTAAGATTAAGAGTGGGGCTGCAAAGTTAAGAATCCTAGGAAACCTATTAATAATGTAAACAGTGGTAAGAACTGCATCTCCCCAAAATGACTGGGGAACATTCAAGCCAATGTAGATTGCTCTGGCTAAGTCAAGGATGTGGCGATTCTTTCTCTCAGAACGACCATTCTGTTGAGGAGTTTTAACATTAGCCATCTGATGCTCAATCCCAAATTCTATACATAACCGTTGTACCTCCCCATAAGTGTACTATGTACCCTGGTCAGATCGGAATTTTTTAATGGTACGACCATATTGAGTCTGAACCATTGTCATAAAATTTTTAAATATGGTGTATACCTCATTTTTGGTTTTCATAAGATAAACCCAAGTAACACGACTATGATCATCAATGAACAACACGAAATATCGAAATCCAAGACTAGAAGTAACTGGGCAAGGACCCCACACATCTGAATGAACAAGATCAAAAGGTGTTAAAGCAGATTTATTACTACTAGCAGGACAATTGGAATGAACATGTTTAGCCATATGATATGTTTCACAGGATAAATCTGACACTACCACGTTACAAAAAAAGGAAGGAAATAAATGTTTCAAGTAACCAAAAGAAATATGTCCTAGACGCATGTGCCAAAGCATAAGCTAGGCTTTATTAGATGAAACAATATTAGAAAATGAAGCTGAATGTGCTTAAGGTGACAAAGGAGCATCCAACAGGCATAAACCGTCCACTTCACGCCCACTACCAATCGTCCGTTTTGACACCAGATCCTGAAAAATACAATGAGAGGGAAAGAACGTTACACTACAGTTTAATTGTTTGGTAATGCTACTAACAGAAATAAGATTTGTAGTCAACTTTGGAACATGAAGTGTATTTGACAAAGTTAATGAAGGAGTAACTAATATGTGACCCTTCTCAGCAATGGAAGATGGAGAGCCATCTGTAAGGCGGACCTTGCGTTGGCCAAAATAGATACTATAAGATTGGAAGAGTGAGGACATACTAGTCATATTGTCTAAAGCACCAGAATCAATGATGCATGGTGTTGAAGATGTAGATACGCTATGTGCAGACGCAATAGTACCTGAGTGGGCATAAATGGAGGTTGGCTGAGATGATGCCTCCATTTGGTTGAAGAATTGCTTGAACTTGTCCAAACAAGCTTGAGTCAAGGTAACTGTAGCAGAAGATGTAGAGGCAGGGTTGTTAGGAGTTCAAACGAGACTGGTTGTGTAACAGAATGTGCAGAGGATCGAGGCTGTTGTTTCTGTTGCAGTGGACGTCCATGTAGAGCATAACAACGAGATTTGATGTGACCAATTTTTCCGTAATGGTCACACCGTCCACGTTGTCGTCCCAGAAGAGGACAGGTGGTAGTACTCTGAACTGACCGGGATGGTAAAGTTCCTGAAAGGTTGGGAACCCGAACTGCCATAGCAAAGCGTTCAACAGAAGCAACACCTAATGGATGAGTCCGGCGGCTCTCATCTGACAACACATAGGAGTATGCATCCTCAAGAGTAGGGAATAAAGATAAGCCTAATAAATGAGCACGAGCATACTCAAACTCGTCGTTCAACCTGGCAAGAAACTGAAACACTCGATTCTTCTCCACAATTCCTGCATATAAAACTGCATCATCTGGATCCTTCCAAGAGTGGAAGGAATCATAATATGACATCTCCTCCCAAATAGCACGAAGCTTAGCGATGTAACCTGAAACTGTCAAGTCACCCTGCGAAATCCTGGTGATATCTCACCCTAGTTGGAAAATTCGTGCATTATTCCGCCTTTGAGAATAAGTGCGTTGAATTGAATCCCAAATCTGCTTAGCAGTCGTTATAAACATATAGCCAACAGCTATGTTTGGTTGCATCGAATTGACTAGCCAAGACATAACCATAGCGTTATTTGCAAACCACTGTGGATATGCCTTCTCTGACTCAACTGGCTCTTTCTTAAAACCAGTAATATAGCCAATCTTGCCTTTGCCACCAATGAACATCTTGGCAGACTATGCCCAAATCAAATAGTTGGAACCATCCAACTTCACTGTGGTGATTTGAAGTCTTGGATTTTCTGATGAGTTGGTGGGAAAAATGGCACCACCACCCACAGAACGTGAGCAAAGAGAATTAACAGTCAAGGACCCTGAATCTGCCATAATCAGTCACACGACAATAAAAAAAAAACTCCAAAAACACCATAAATTCTGTTAATAAATCAAAGGGTCTCCTCAGACCATAAACAATATCTCCTCAGACCATTCTCGAAAAATCCAAATACATACTTTTTTTAAGGAGCGTTGCCCGCTTACATATAGGCAGACAGCCTCCTTCTTAATATTCGGAACCTCTTTGTAGACTAATTTTTTTTACCCAAGCCCTTTTAGGTGTTGGAAACCAACTATCCCAATTTACGCAACCCTAGAAGAGTGAAAAAGAAATTGTAAAACTTAAAAATACCTGTTTTCGATCACAAAACAGCAACACAGAAAAAACATGTGTAGGCAGCGTCACACGATGTCACAAACAGCCTAAGGTAGTTATCGCACAAGTAGTAAAGCTGCTGAAAGGTGTGGAAAGGTGTTGGCTCTGATACCAAGAAAAAATATATAAAAAGAAGAGAAAAGAGAGAATTGCGTAAAGGTTTGAATAATATGAATTACTTATTCACAGTTCTAGTATTTATAGATAAAATGAGCACATGCTCATATTACAAGAAAGGAAACTAAATCAAATCAAAATCAAATCACAACTTATTCTAAAGCATATTTTATGGCATATTCTATAGTATAGTCAAATCTCTGCTATTATGGTAAGTCATACCATAAATCATGGTATCATATATGCTAACAAATAGAGAGAGAGAGAGAGAGAGAGAGAGAGAGAGAGTGGTATAACTGAGATTGTATGTACACATATACAACATATACAAGTGTATAATTGAGGGCATTTTTATATTTACACAAAAAAATATATATATATCTCACGTGCTAGTCACTAGACCATTTAAGGGCTATCTTTTTAACGGTTATCTAACGGAAGGCAGTAAGATGTAACATATTGGAGTTATATACAAAATTGGTTTTAGAAACAATCTAAGAAGTACCCAGAATTTTCATCCCCAACAGTTTGACCTATTCCAAGTTAAAAAGTCTACTATTAGTATTTTGTCACTTCATGCTACTGAATAAATTCATGAACTGTTTTTCTTTGAACAAGAAACAACTTGTTTCACACACCTTACTATTTTTCCTTCTACTCAATACAAAATGATCAATTCCAACAAAAACTTTGCTGCAATACTTTGGTTCCTCCTGTTCATTCACATCTCCCTATTACTATCTTGTTTAGCAATAGACACCATTTCTAAAACCCAACAAGTATTGGATGGTCAAACCTTAGTTGAAGTCTTTGAGCTGGGCTTCTTTAGTCCTAATGCATCTCATGTAAGATATGTGGGTATATGGTACACAGGACTCCCCGTTGAAAAAGTTGTTTGGCTTGCAAACAGTGATAACCCATTGACGGAAACGTCTGGAGTTCTAGTGATCGGAAGGGATGGGAATTTGGTGCTCATCGATGACAGATTCAACACAGTTTGGTCCACAAAGCTAGCTTCTGCTGCATCAAATGGTACAATTGCGGTACTTCGTGCTTCAGGTAATCTTGTTCTTATTGAAAACAAATCAAACGGAAGTGTCTTATGGGAAAGCTTCAGTCATCCATCAGATACTTTGTTGCCGGGCATGAAGCTGGGATTGAACACTAAGACGGGAAAGTTTATTTTTAACATCATGGAAGAATGACAAGGATCCATCACCTGGAAGTTCTGTTTTAGTTATGGAGCCTGGTGAACTGCCAGAAGGTGTGATCTTAAACAGATCAGTGAAATACTGGAGAAGTGGGCCGTGGAATGGGATGAGCTTCATAGGAATTTCAGATATGGACACAAACTACCTTACAGGCTTTACTGTTATCACGGATAATCAGGCAGGAACAATCTATTTTGTGTATTCTTTAACCTTGCCGTCATTTCCATTGTTTTTGAGTTCTCTGGGAGCTTTAATTCAAATGAACTGGGATGCAGAGACTAGCAAATGGGTAAATAATGAGATTGCACCCAAAGGTCCCTGTGATATTTACGGTACATGTGGCTCATTTGGGATCTGTAATGATACGAACTCCCCAATATGCAATTGTTTGAGAGGGTATGAACCAACGTCTACAGAAGAATGGCACCGTGAAAATTGGACAGGTGGTTGTATAAGAAGAGTTAAACTACAGTGTGAGAGGAATTCGAGCATTCATGATAGCATAGCAGACCGTTTTATAAAGCTGACAGGAGTAAAACTACCAGACTTCTCAGATTACTCGGCTTTGAATGACGCTATAGATTGTGGTGATCTTTGCTTGAAGAACTGTTCTTGTGTTGCATTTGCACATTCAAATGGAATTAGTTTTATGGTTTGGGGAGGACATCTGATTGATGTTAGGGCGCTCTCTTATGCAATTTTTTCCTAGCCTTAGCCAACAATGATTAATTTTGCTTACACCAACAACATCACATTTATTTGATGTTTCTTAGTTGTGGTTGGATTGCAAATTGATTTTTCTTATGTCCATCTCAAACCTTTGAAGGCAATCAGTACATTTGCAACTTCAACATTTTTATATTGATATTAAAAACTTCATGTTGTTAAGGATGGACTTGAATTTAGCAATGTCTAATTGAAAATTCAGGTGAAAAGAGACGAATAAGGGGCTTTATCATTATTTCATTTTCAGACTTAAAAAAATATATATATACATATATATATATAGCTTACCCTGGGAGGAATCATTTAACCTATAAAAATGCATATATACATATATATATATATATATATATATATATATATGTATATATGCATTTTTATAGGTTAAATGATTCCTCCCAGGGTAAGCTACCAAGTGTACAAGAGCTTGCTGTCAAAAGACTTTCAAAGAGCTCGGGACAAGGCATAGAAGAGTTCAGGAATGAGGTCATATTAATTTCCAAACTCCAACACAGGAACCTTGTGAAGCTACTTGGCTTTTGTATTGAGGGAGATGAGAAAATGTTGCTCTGCGAGTTCATGCCAAACAGCAGCTTGGACACCTTCCTCTTTGGTTTGTTTTCTGCTGCATCAATATAAAATATTGGAAATTAGGATATGTTATTGGTCACAAGAATTAGCGACGCATCCGAAACTCATATTTTGAATCTTGTGCAGTTGGGGTGAGATATTGCAAAATCAAATATCTGTAGAATTGTAAAGATTTTTTTTTTTTTGGATTAGGTTCAAGTAAAAAGGCAATACTGAACTAGGATCAAAGATGTAACATAATTGAGGGGATTGCTCGAGAGCTTCTTTATCTTCATCGTGATTCTTGATTAAGGATCATTCACCAAGATCTCAAGGCGAGCAATATTCTCCTAGACGAGGAAATGAACTCAAAGATTTTTGATTTTGGCATGGCCAGGATTGTTATGGGGAATCAAACTCTAGCAAACACCAATAGAATTGTCGGAACTTAGTAAGTTTGATGTTTTTTTTTTTTTTTTTTTGATAAGTAAAATATATTAGAAAAACGTTCAAGAGGGGAACGTGTCCTTAATACAGAAAAACAAAAACCTTAAGGACCAATAGAATGCAAAAGGTCAAAAAGACCAGCAATCGAGGAGCAAGCGCTTACTCTAACATAACAAAAGAGAGAACGGAGAATATGAGATTTTAAGTGAGCAATAGTTGATTCTTTCCCTTCAAAATTTATGTTGATTCTCTCTCTCACCAGATACACCACCAAATACAATGTGGGACAGTCCTCCAATAAGCACGTGCATGACCTTTAACTGGACATCTTCTCCATGCGTTGATTAATTGAAAAGAGTGTTTAGGCATCACCCACTGAATATTGAAGATGCTGAAAATTAAATTCCAACAATCAAACACAACAGGACAATGCATGAGAATGTGATCCATGGACTCTCCATCTATTTTGCATAAACAACACCAACTCACAATAGTATTACCCCTATTTCTCAAATTATCCAATGTCAAAATCCTTCCCCAGGTGGCAGTCCAAACAAAAAATGCCACTCTAAGAGAAGCTTTAGAGTGCCAAATAAACTTCCAAGGGAATTCCTGGCCATTAAAGTTGGACAAACACATGAACATGGATCGTACTCCATATCTACCATGAGGGGAAGGCACCCACAAAATATCATCACAACCATTGCCAACATCATTCTAATGAGTGCCTAAAACGCACATCCCACGTAACCCCACTGTTATCAAGATGATAACAATCAACTACATAAGAATGCTTGTTTTCGGCAATACTGAAAAGGCGAGGATGTAATGACCCGGTCATTTTCTTCCCTTCCTTTTTCCTCAGAATTTTATGGATGAATTTTTTTTTCGTTGAAATTTCTTTTTCTGAGTTCAATTTCTCATCACTTAGTGTCGTCTCGAGTGCTCGAAAATGGTTTCTAAGACTCTTTCCCTTGGATTGACAACTTCCTTCAAGGACAGAGTCATTTTCACATTTTTCGTTTTTCAACACTATTCACTTTTCGTCGTTTTCCCTGTTTTGTCCTTTTCCCTATTTTGTCTTTTCCCCGTTTGTCACTTGGTTAGCATAACCTCACTCCTTGTGTTCGGAGTTAGTTTTTGACTTCACGTATCTTCATTCTAAGTGGTTTTCACGAAATACGTATCTTTATTTTTGCAGTAAAGTACTCTGATTGCTCCCGATGTCCATAGGGGCATGGATGCACAGTTCTTTAGAATCTTTTTCTTTTCTTGAGTATTTTTCATAAATATCTTTTGAAGATATTTTATTTTAGGGGTATCTAAGGAAGATATTTTCATTCTGAGGCAGTTTTGCAGTTAACCCTTTTTGTAGTGGCCATTGTGCAATTAACGAAAGTTATTGCAAAATACCTTGTCTTGAGCCTGGATTCCCGTACGGGATTCAATTTCACATTTCATCGAGTCGTGTACTCATAAAATTTCCTTCTGGTCATTTTTCTCCAGTTTCAGGGTTTGTGGACCAAGTTGCCGCCGAATTTGTTTGGGGCATATCTCTCTGCTCGGGACTCAGTTTTCGACGTCGTTTCTTCCGTTGTTCATATTTTCTCATTTTGAATCTTTTTTGTTCACAGAGTTTTGCCGTTTGATCGCGTCTACTCAAATTCTACTTTTCCGGACTTAGCGGGGCCAGGGTACTTTTAGGGTTTTTCTATAAATAGGGGGTCTTAAGTCAAAAGGTCAAATTTCCATCACCTTCTTCACCTTCTTGGCCTGAAACCATGGGAGCCTAAGGGGCTGCCATCATTCTTTCTTCTCCTCCACTTGATTTCCTTAGTGAAAACTCTTCGGCCTTAACGTTTATCATTCCCCTCGTTGTGCTCTACCTTTCCCCCTTATTAGAACTCGTTTTTGGCCAAATCTTGAGTTCGGGTTTGAGATCAAGTTGGGATTTTGGTAGGTCCTCTTTGGAGTTTAATGATCACGGCGTTGTCCCCAGCATAACCTAAGAGTATCGTAGGATTCAGAGCATATTTCTTTCGGTGGGAATTTGAGATTTCATCTCAAAATGAGGTAGGGGATGTTATAGGTTTATATTTGAGTTGTATTGATTATTTTATGGGTTTATACAACTTGTATGCATGCCTTGTATTAATCCTAGAATTTAATTTAATTATTTTCTATGTATAGGATTTCATTCTAATGATTGTATATAGTTTAGAATTAAATTATAGCATGCTAGTAAATTAGGCCTTGATATGTTGAGTAACATATATTAAATTTAGAGCATTTGAATAAGAATTGCAAAACTTATTTAATATTTATCTTTTATGAAAGTTTAATTCACATAGTTGAAATAAGCATGTAATCAACTTGTAATGTGATATTAAAGTAGGTCTTGGTGAGTTCTTCAACATATATATTTAATTGAGGACATTTAGATATGTTTGAAAATCTAGTAAAAAATTAATTAATTTTATTTTAAGTGTTGTAGTCGCTTAAATTGATTTTGGGTATGATATATGTTAAGACCATGTTATGACCTTTAACATATATTAATTTGAGCCTAATTGGAATTGATTTGAAATCTAGAGACTTTTCATGTTAGGTTGATAACCTGTTGAAATGTAATATGTTTAATTACCTTGTAAGCATGCTACTAACTTGTTGTAAAATTAGTACTTGTCATCTCTAAGGATGGTAATTTGACTTAGTATGATATGTGATATCATTGTCTTGAATGGCTTGCTTAAATACATCTTGTGTAGGTATATAACTTGTTAGAATATTACAATTGTTTACCTTGGAAGCTAGGTATTAAATTGGAGCTTATTTAGTACTTGTGACTTAGGATGGTAATGTGGCTCAATTGTTGTAAAATATTCTTGCTTTGTGTATAAATTGCATATTGAGGACATGACATGTCATATGCTATTTAGACTTGAATTCTAGGACATGAATTGTGTGGATTCAACCTTACTTGTGCATGGAATGTGGTAACTTGCATTTGATTTGGTATAAATTTTGAACTTATTAGTTTTGAAAAGCTTGTAAGGACATAATTTATGTGATAGCTAGGGTTTGGCTCTAGTACGGAGACAAGAGTCTTATAAGTCATAAGTGCGCACTAGGTGGTACCTTGTGGGTCATAATTACCTGAAAATACCTACTTGGTATAGCGACCACATGTCCTAGTTTTTCCACAATTTGGTTTTGCATTTAATTTCAAGTTATTAATCATGGATTACTTATAACTTGAGGATTAATGCTTGCTTTGGATATTTGAATCCTATTTAGTATACTTGAACTTAGATACTTGCTTCGTGATTTAAACTTCATTTAGTATACTTATCATGTGCGAAATCCTATTAGCTTAGCATACTTGTGTTATGTACTTGACTTACGAGATTTCCATATAAAATGCATACTTGTGTAAATATGCTTAGACATTGCATGACTTGTCTTTAAAAGGTTTAGTATACTTGGAAATGTATGCTTGTATGTTGTAGAACATGTTTTAACATTGTTTAGTATACTTGAGCATGTATACTTGTATGCCGGTGTTCACTTTAAATTGTATGAGTAGCTTAGAATGATCCATGAGTCTCACTTTGACATAGGCGTTAGGTGGCATGAGCCCCTTTAACACGTTTCACCTTAAGGTGATATAATTATAAAATGCTAGGTCGATGCATGCTCATCTCCTATAAGTAGCTTTATGTTACTCACCCACGTAGTGGGGACATTTTTCAGGTACAGGATTCAAGACTTGGAGACTTCATCTGCCTTGGTTGATTTGTGGCCTCTTATGATAAAACTTGTATTTTTATTCTAAATATGTAATGTATACATAAGTATCCTTTTTGTAAGGTATTTGATATGTATGACATGAGGCCAATGGCCAAGCAAGTTTATATTTGCACTTGTATTCAATTGGTGCCTTATTTTGCTTGAAAATGTATTTTTATCTACTGGAAGGTTTGGCATGTCAAATTTTGTAAATGAGATGTAATGAAGCCGTAGGCCATTGGAATATGTTTAAAATGTCATATTACACTTGCGTGTATATTCACACCATCACACATTAGCATATAATGAAAATTGAACATGTCATGGGGAATTCAAATGAAGCTTAGGGACTTCTCTTCATTTCTAGTGCGTAACAGGAAATTTTGCCCTTTCTCGAGTCATTTCGGCCGAGTCGACCAAAACCTTTTGGGCTTCATTTGTACAGTAAAACTTGCATTCTAGTAGCCAAAATCAAGTTTCAGGTCCATTTCGGTCGACCGATTCATCATTTCGGTCGACCTAAATGATTTTTCTTCATTTTTAGGAGTTCTGGAAATTTTCTGGTCATTTCGGTCGACCGAAATGGCTATTTCGGTTGACCTAAATAGCTTGCATTCAGCTGTTTGAGTATTGAAGTTCCAACTTCAAACGGCCATATCTCTTTCATTTCTAACCCAAATGGGGTGATTCTTAAGCCTAAATTCATGAATTTTGAGTCAGATTTCCAATGGTACTAATACTATTCTCAGATTCCAAACATAGTGGGAGTTATTCATGTTTTAGTGAGAGAGTGTTAGTTTTCGCTTAAACTGGGAAAGGGCGTTTTGTGGGAT